CTCCCCTCCCCCGCAGGCGTGCCCTCGCATTGATCCAGCCGATCGCGCACATGCGCATGCGCCGCCATTGTCTTCTTTCCTTCTCTTTACCCCCCCCCCCCCCTGCCCCGTCCTGCACAATACAAACAATACCAATGTCACATACACAAGTGGGGATTTGTCCGACCACGCGCGAGAGGGGGATGGGCATTCGGCGCGCGCACCCGGCACATCCGCGCACCACTCACGCACGGCGCCCCGGGCCGGACAGAGGGGGGGGGGGATGACTGACTGGCGGGACTCCTCGCTGGCCGGAGATGACTCGCCCCCGGGTGGATGAGTAAGCAAAGGTGCCCTAGACTGCGGCCCGGCGAGATCCTGCTCACTCGGCGCCTGCGGCGTCGCGGGCCTGTGTCCTTCCTTAGTTGCGCGAAGGCCCGCGCGCCCGCCTCAGGGAAAATATCCCCCCCCCCCCCCCCCCCCCGAGGGGCCCCCGATGCCAGGGAGCTCCCCTCCTCAGGGCACGGGGCAGCCTTCTCGCTAGTCACGTGCGACGGCCCCGGGACACGCTAGTCGCTCGCGTTCCAGCCGATCGCCCCGGCGAGGACCCCGGCGGCCAGGGCATCCATCCGCTGCCGGCTGGCTTGCCCCCCCCCCCCCACCCCCACTTTTCCCAGCCGCAGGTCGCCGACCAAGAGGGCCAGGCGGGCGTCGGGGTCACGCCTCAGTTCGGCCCCTCTCGCCCGCTTTCCCTCTCTCTTCTCTCTCTCTCTTCTCTCTCTCTTCTCTCTCTCTCTCTCTCTCTCAAGGGGCCAGGCTGCATGGGAATCTCGATAATTGTGTCACTTCGCCACTTGCAAGCTCCCACCCCTCGTGCCACCCCCTTGTCCCTCCTTCCCTTTTCGCGCGTCTTTGCCGCGCGTCGCCTCCCTCTCTTTCCCTCCCTGTCCAGCTCTCTCCCCTCCCTCACCGGCCGTCGCTGTTGACCCATGTCCACCTCCTCGGGCCGATCGGGACCGCGGCGGCGGGCGCCCACCGCGCAAGGCCACCCGACGGGCCCCAATGTCTCTGCTCCCCTCCGGACCGCCTCCGCTGCCGGGGCCGGCCCCGCTGCCAGGCGGTCGCGGCCCAAAGCCCCCAACGATGCGCCTCCCACCGCGGCCACGCTCTTCCCCGGGATTGCGGCCAAGCTCCACGTGTACGGGCTTTCGGCGTCGCTCCTCTGCTTGGCCTGCATCCACTTGAGCTCGTACTACTTCAACCGCGGGCGTGACCTGGCCGCCGGGCAGCCGCCCTACGACCCGCTGTCCTCGCTCGGCATCAATGGCCCGCTGGTGTCCATCGACCTGTGGAGTTTCCTCCATGTTCTGTGGTTCGCGGTCTGTGGCTTCCTCTACCCCGGCCGCATGGGGACCCTGATGATGTATGGCATCCTGTGGGAGGTGGTCGAGTGGCTGATGGGCGGCCTGATCGACCAGTTTTGGCGCGAGGTGTGTTGTTCCTCCTCCCTTTGCGCCCCCCTTGCTTGCCTCCCCCCTCCCCCCCCCTCCCAGACTCACTCTGCTTCACCTTTTTTTGCTTGTCGGCATCGCTGACCCCTGCATGTCCTCCTCTCCTCCTGCTCTCCCCCTCCCGGTCGCATTTCTCGCCGGCCCAAGCGCGTGGTCAATCTCCTCTGGGACCTGTGGTTCAACCTGCTCGGGTATCGCCTCGGGGAGTATGCTCTGATCGCGGTGCTCGAGCGCCTCGGGCGCCGCGAAGTGATCGAGGAGGGAGACGATGCTGGCCCGGCCACGCCGGGTCACACCCGGGCGGACTAGTTTTGTTCGACTTTTGTGCTACTCCCCCTTCTCCCGGCCTCCCCCGCCCCCCCCTGTATCCGGCGCCGCTCTTGCGTGGGCCCCCTCACCCTCCGCCCCTTTCATGGCGGCCATAGAGATTTGGTACTTTTGTTGTTTCAACTACACGAGGGGGACAAGGGCCGGCGGGCGCAGGGGAGAGCGCAACACCGGCCCCGTCCCGGCAAGGGCGCGCACGTGTGTGCGATGGAGAGGACAATCGGGAGGCATATGGCCCTCCCTCCTGCTCCTCCGCCCTTGGGAGGGGGGGGGGAGGGACGGAGCGCGGGGAGGAGGGGGGACACCGAGGGCGAGCGAGCGGTTCTAGTTCTTGGTCAGAAGGAAGACCGCAGCGGCCGGGGCGATGATGGAGGTGATGCCGTGGCTAGGGCAGAGGGCCGGGACCCAGTGAGGGGGAGGGGGGTTAGCGTCGGGAGACGAGGGCCAAGGGAGGGCGAAAGGAGCGGCCTGGCGACGAGCACGCACAGCAGGCCGGGCAGCGGGGTCAGGGCATGGACGAAGATGTAGACGATGATGTAGATCAGGTTGACCGAGCCAATGGCATAGGCGACCGCCGGGGAAACAGCCATCTCCGACAGCTGGTTGTACTGCGGTTGAGCCGGAGCAGGAGCAGGTGCGCGGGGGTGTGAGGACGGTGGCAGAGGCGACGTGTGACGCACGGCAAAATGACGGCAGCGGGAGTGAGGATGCGGAAAGCAGGTCGTACGGAAACGGTGGACTTGGGCCGGAGGGCACGGACGATCCTGCACGCGAACGGGTGCACAGGCGCGCGCGCGCGCGCGCGCAAAAGCACCGGACGAGGGGCCGACAAACGTGGTTAGTCTCCGTCAGCATGCAACGCCAATGGACCGGGCCCACCGTTGGCTGGCAAGCGGATGACGCACTTGGAGTGGCGGCTGTTGGCCTCGCTGCTGTAGGGCTTGATCAGGAGGGCACCGGCGGCGACGGCGGCCAGGATGAGCAGCGGCAGGTTGGACAGCTGGCCACGGGTGAGCAGCAGGTTGACTGGAGGAGGCACCGACCGCGCGGGGCAAATGGGTGAGTATGTGGCACCGAACAAGGCGTGCGTGCGTGCGTGCATGCGTGCGTGCGTGTGTTCGTGCGTGGATGCCCACAGACACACCAGGAGACACACACACATACATACAAACGGACGCGCACTCAACATCAGGCAATCAAGAGGACGCACGCAGAGGGAAGCCCATGGTCACGGCGGCGGCCATCAGGAAGGTGAAGTACGACGCAGGGCCGACCGGGGTCTTAGCCATCTCAACGTGACCGGACATGGTGAGGCGCGGGCAGGGAGGCGGGGCGAGGAAGGATAAGGGAGGGTAGGAGGGGGAGGGGGGGGGGGGGAGACGCGAGCAAGGGGCGGGCCTTCGTCGGTCGGTGGGAGGGGTGGCGCGAGGGATGCCTCCCTGGAGGCCGGCCCCTGGCTTTTCACCAATCGTGTGAGCCCTTCGCGTGTTGTTGCCCCTCCCCAGGGGCGGGGGACAGGTACGGGCGTCAATGCTCTCGCGCCCCCTGCTCCGGGATGCCAGTGTGATGGCCGGGAGGGATGGCGGCGGACACATTCACGCCCACCGCCAGACCTCCCGGGCGCGCCCGAGGCTCCGCTGATCTGTCCCACCGCCCCCCCCCTCCCCCCCCAGCCTCGCCTGGTGGCAACCCTCTCTGGAGTCGTCGCCCGGGGTGTCCAAAACGGCGCAGGTGTTTCTTTGCCCAACGCCGGCGAGCTCATGTCCCCCGCTGGCGTGGCGGGGGGGGGGGGGGGGGGGGGGGGGGGGGGGGGGGGGGGGGGAATACACCGACCGCCGCCCAGGGAGAAGCCCAGGCGGCGTAGACAAACGGCCGAGACTAAATTGACGCTGCCAACGCATGCCCCAGTCTGGAGTACTATTACGGTGTTGGCTCGTTCGCCCGATGTAGGAAATACATTCGCGCGTGTATTTAGGATGGCCGTGGGCCGGGGAGCACGGGGAGGGGCGAGGCGGCGGCGGCGGCGGCGGCAACGGCGGCGGCGGCGGAGAGTTCCCCTCTCGGGCCATTTTACAGGCGGATGCGTTTGCGCGAGTGGCCGCCAGCCGCCGAAGGATCCTCCTCGGTGTCCTTGGGACTGGGGCGGGGGAGGCAGACATGGCGCTGGTCAGAGAGACGGGAGGAGACAGGCGCGGAGAGAAAGGGCTGAGCGAGTGAGGGGCGAAGGCATGCGCACTCGGCATTGGTGGGTGGGCGTTTGTCAGCCTCGGCGCCAGTTGCCAGGCCCTTGCCATACTTGCTGGCCATGTAGGCCGATACCTGGCCAAGTTCGCGGTCAAGTTTCTGTTGTTCCTTCTGCGCGGCAACCTTGGCCTTGGAGCCGCTGGCGGCTGGGCCGCCCAGCCCGTGAGTTTGGGCGGCTTGCTCGCTGTGCGTGTACGCGAGCAGGGTATGAGGGTCAATGGCACATTCGTGCATGTGTGTGCATGTTTGCGCAAGGGCGAGAGAGAGAGAGAGAGAGGGTGGGCTAACCAACAGGCCGGAGTCTCGCGGACTGCCTGCTTTCCCCCCCCCCCCCCCCCCAGCAGACGGGGAAACGCACAGATGCGAGTGCGACAAGTTCCGCACATACTCGCGGTATTCAATGTCGCTGGCGAAGGAGGCACGCGTGCGGATCCGATTGGCAGACGAGGGGGCGCCACTTGGCTCATCCTCCTACAAAGAGGCGCGCAGGCAGACACACACACACACATGCACGTATGTAGGGGGCGCATTCACGCACAGCGAGTCAGATCCCGACACCGGGAGGGGCAGCCAGGGGCAGAAAGAGACGCGGGGGAACCGCAGAAGGGCCAAATGCGAATGGACCAAAGGGCAAGATCGACAGCCGGGCACGGCTCAGCACGGACCAAATCCTCCGGCAGTTGGGCCTGCAGGGAGCTTTCCACTTCGTAATCGGCCGCGTGGCTGCGCTGCACACGGCTCTCCAACGCCGCGCGGGCCGACTCATGCAGCAAGTCCATCTCGTCACGGATGTGCGCGTCATCCGAGTCCGAGCCGTCGTCCGCCAGGCCCTGGTGCTGGAAGGCAATCAGGCGATGGAGGCGGCTCTTCTCGGCGCCAGGGTCCGAGGCAGCGGCGCCGCGGCCCGGCGCGGGCCGGCTGGTGTCCGAAGCAAACAGCCCGGCCGAGCCGCGTGACGCATCGAACGCCTCGCGTGCCCGGCGCTCGACCTCCTTCATGTCGATGTCGCGGCGTTCTGCGCGCACACGGTGTGTGCGTGTGCCGGGAATGAAAAAAACAAAAAAGAATAAAAGAAAAGAAGGCCCAATCAACGGGGAGACAACGGTCAGAGGGGCAGCGCGCAGAGCAGCATCCAATTAGGGCACCGGCAAACGCACCGTCATCAACGGCATGGGTGCCGGGCCCGGTCCGGGTCGCTGGGAGACTCGGGGGTGCGGGAGCTGGCGCGCCGGCCGGCGGTAGGGCGAACATGCTGCCATGGGGGATCCCCGTACCGAGGTCAGTCACAGATGGCCCGCCCACAAGCAGGCAGCGAGCATTTCTTTCGTTCTTGCTCTCCCTCTCCCTCCCTCTCTATCCCCCCTCTCAGGGTCCGTGAGAAGCACCCGGCGCATGTCACGCACTCGTCATCATCGTCGTCATCTCCCCCCTCACCAAACAGACCCGGCGCGTCGTCCTCCTCCGAGCCATTGCCCAGTTGGCGCCGGAGGCGACTGACAATGGCGTCATGGTCGGCCGGCTGAGGGGCAGCCTTCTGGGCAGCCTCCCGCTCAGCAGCCTCCCTCTCGGCAGCAGCAGCAGCAGCAGCAGCGGCGGCGGCGGCGGCCTGTTGTTCCTCCTGGGCACGGCGGGCCGCGCGGGCTTCCTCCTCCCGGCGACGACGCACCGCGGCCGTCGCCTGCTGCAGGGAGCTGACGCCAAGCTGGCTGCCGGGGCCGCGCGCGCGGCCCCCCTGCTCCGAGGCCGAGGAGGCGCCCCCGGGAACCGACCCAGACCGGCGGGCGGCCGAAAACAACTGCGACACGCGCTCGATCAGCAGCTCATTGATGCTGTCCAGCGTCTCGCTCAGGGAGTCGGTGACCAGGTTCGAGCGGACCAGCGACACGGGGACCGCATTCACGTGGTCCCCCCCGGCGTCCTCCTCCTCCTGGGATTGACCAGGAGCCAGGTTGTACGTGAGGTAGGTCCGCCGGACGCGGTCCTTCGGCAACATGGCGAGGCTGTGGCCAGGGGGCGCACCGGCCGGGAGCCCGGGAGGCGGAAAGGGCGGAGGCGGTCTTTGGTCAGTCGGCCCCGCGGTCTGACATGGGCACATCATGTGCGCCTTCCAGTGCGCACCTGGAGCCGGTATCCACCCCCGGGGCCTGTGGGGCTTGCTGCTGTTGCTGCTGCTGGCCGCGCAGGGCCTGTGCCACGATGCGCTGGACGATCGGGTCGGTGGAGGTCTCGGCCGCGGCGCGCTCCGACGCCCCGAGGGTGCCGTACTTGCGCCGAAGCTTCTCATTCATTTCGCGCTCAGCGGCCTCGCGCTGTGCATCGAGGGCCTTGCGCCTGCGCGGGCCAGGCCGGACGAGCGGAGGGTTATGGTTGTCAATATGGAATCAGCCAAAGGGGGGGGGGGGGGG